AGTGCCTACTGAGGGGTATACTTTGTCAACGATTTCTATTAATTTCTAACATTCCATTGTTGTCGATATGTAGATTTAAGTATAAGACTACAAAGAACGTTCGGAGTTAAACCAGAGAGAGAGAGAGAGAGAGAGAGAGAGAGAGAGAAAAAGAGAGAGAGAGACGCAAAAATAACTTAGAAATTTTTTTAAAAAATCATCTAAAAAATATCTAAAATGGAACTTTTTTATATTTTACTTATATATATTATAGATATATATATTTTTTATTTCGCACATCGTCGATATATTAAGAAAAAAATTATTAAAACTAAAATTTGAATTTTTTCCGGTAATTTTATTTTTTTTTCTTCTTACGCATAATTAAAGTTTTTTCATAATATAAAACTATTTACCCAAAATTATTCATCATTGTTTGTTTAAAAAATTATTCATAAAAACGTCGGATATAAAGAGCGTTTAGAATATATTTAAAGTTAGTTTATTTCTGTTTATTTCTTGTTATTCTGCCATCGTGAAAATGACAGTGTTCGACAAGAAATTTATGGACGTCATTTACTGCAGGGTTGGTTTTGTCGATCTATGCACTTGCATCTTTCTTGACAAGTCTCGTATAAACTTGTCAAACTTCTCGACATCGCTAACAACTAATAGACGAAAGCAGACATTAAATAACGATAAGAAGTTTTGATATCGATATAATTGCTTAATTAACTTAAGTATTTATTGAAGTTAATTTATACTAAAATGGATTCATTTTAAAATAATTTATTGATATATATTGAATGATTTTGAAATAATTCATTGATTCATTGAAAATGCTTTGCAGAATTTTTACAAGAATTATTTCAAATATGATAGGCAGATTTCGAAGTAAAAGTTGTGCAAACCATAATTTATAAGTTTCTTTATATTAGGTGTTGGAATTAATTCGTAGCGTTTTTAATGAAAGAATGTTATTTATTTCACATGAGCATTAAAAAATACATTAATGAAAGTACTTCCCATCACTTGTAAAACGCTACGAATTAATTCCAACACCTAATATATATAAAATAGATTTGAATAAATTGATAAGAATGATACTCCTTTGAATCTCTTCGATAATGAAGCAAAATATAAAATTTGTAAATAATCAGTAAATTTTTTATGAATAAATATACTAAGTTTTGTTTAATTATTTATTGTGTGATGTAATTAAAAAGTAGATACTTTATATAAAATACATAAGTTCCAAATTAATTTATTAAACTTTTGGGTCGCTGTCTCATTATTAAAATGTTTATTACGAATACACGTGTGTCATGAATAAATTGTCATTCTTATCTATAAATTGTTTGCTCTGTTTTTTGAAATTATTTAAGTAATGTATTATGTATATGATTATCCTTTATTATGTCGATCTTTGTTACTTATGATTCGCTATTTCTGTAATATTTATGGAGATAAATAACGTTTCTATATAGATAATAATCAAATCTAATAATTCAATCTAATTATTTAAATCTAATAATGACATGTCTCTATTTCGAGAGTCTTATTGTGCGATATAACAATCGATGTATTTTCTTTAGCGTATTCACAGTAATCAGTTTGGCAATCCGTCTCTCGTAAAATAAATCATTTTCCGTTTATATTGAGAAAGATATTGTGTTTCTCTATTTGTGCTGATTTCCGCACGTTGGTTTCCGACTATTTTTTTTATTATCTCTCGCCTTTACGCATGCTTTGAGTAAACTGCCCTGCGTACGCTCTTTTTCCTTTTTATCTTTTATCCTGGATTCTCATTTTCTGAAGGGGAAGATAGAAGGGATTCTTAATGGACAACACATAGATCGGAATGACAAGATATATGTGCTTTTGCGGAAGTTAAGGCTCATGAACATTGGAAGGGGGATGAAACTATCTGTTCTGATCCTTCCTGACCTTTTCTTATCCCTCTTTTTTTTTTCGTTCAATAAGAACACGATTCTTGCCTTTGTTTCAGCAAAGACCACATTGTGGAGAACCGTTAATGATTCGCGACGGTTTTCTGAATAATTAACAATGAAGGTTTATATTATTTTAATTTTTAATTCATCCATTTAATTTTTATTTATCGCAGCTGATATTAGTAATAAATAAGAGAAGAAATTTTTATCCTTTTCATTTATATTTTATTACGCGTAATTTTCTATTTATTATTAAATATAGATTAAAAATATTTATTGTATTATTACAATTTTATTGTAATATTATCCTGCACTAAACTCCGATTTAATGAATGTAAATCTCAATGATTAATTAATTTATTTACGAAACAAAAACATTTGATTGAAATATTTTTAACAACACTATTGGTATAGTTATTTAATAATTATGTAATAATTAGAAGAATTATATTTGAAATTATAATTGATTATTATATAAAATAAGATTTTTTAAAATACATTTTCTATCGCAAATGTTACCAAACAGTAAAAAAATTGTGCGCTTATTAAAATGTCATTAATTTTATTTTGTCAATTATGTTTGTAGAAAAAGGGAATCATATATGGATAGTATAGTTTTTACTTTCACTTATATAATAGATTTTGTAAGTTGAAAATTAAGAATTTCTTTTTTTTTGTGGAAACGCGAGACTTTTTTATAGGTTTTGTATAAAATATCCATAATACACTATTTATCTCCAGAGGCAACAACGTAATCCAATCAGTAAGTGCGTTATTTGTTGCGAAACGTGCTCATTCGAGTAACGGAGAAACTCGAAGATTCTCTATCTATTCTTTATCAAAGCAAACAAATAAGAGAAAAGAAATATTCATGGAACAAAGTAAAAATATAAAAAGTTATGCATATTATGATCTCGTTAAATTCTTTGCAATATAACATTGAATTTGAATTAGTACTATCCTTGAGAAAGTTATGTTCTTTAAACAGAAAATGAAAAAATAAAGTTCAGAAGTCATTTCTGAAAAGTTTCCAATTTCTCGAATCCACAATTCTTAAAATGTATTCTGCACATTTTCATCATTTTTCATAGGAAATAAAAAATAGTTCGTTATCTATGCGTCTTCTGCAATAATTAAATTTTTGAAGTATTTATTCTGCATCGAAGTAAAAAGTGACATTTAAAGATAATAAGAAATTTATATTAAATTATAATATGTATATAAATTTATATAATTTTTGTTTATTTAATATATGACATTTTATATATTTATATAATCTTATATAAATCTTACATATAAATTTTGTATTCAATATATAAATTTTATATTGTTTCTAATTACTTTTTTATATTATATTTAATATAAAATTGAAAAATAATGGGAATTTTACGTTTTCAAAGTAGAACATCTACGAAGATCTTGAAATACGTGTGAGGTAGTGTGAGGTAGCGTGTGTCAATAAATTTAATAGAAATTCTCGTGCTGCGCGTACTACCGCGCAACGATGAGCTTTTTATATGTTTTGCGTGATGCTCTGATTCGGATTTTTTTTTATCGGGAAAAATCCTCCCTTTATCGTCTGTTTCATGTCGCGCACGTGAAATGTACTTTGACGCGTTATAATATATATATAGCATTACAGCACGCGTTTCAAAGAATGTTTCTTTCACGTGGCATGTATCATATATGCATAAACACGTATGTGCTTCTCTCGATTTTTCCGCAAATCGATACTAAGTCCTTCCTTTTAACTTTTTCGTGAACACTGGTGGACACACCGGTGACACACAATAGTGCTTGATTGACCGATACTTATTTATAGCCGCGTGTAAATTTTTGTTGTGAATTCGTATCGCGTTTCAGATGAGAAGCGCTTCTGTGTCGTTTGCTGAAGGACGTGGAATTTGTGATGATATCGATCGAGTATCGTCGAAGGACTATCCAAACAGGACAGAAGTCGCACTTCTTTTTCTTGGGATAGGAATCACGATTAGCTTTCGTTCCTCCGAGTAGCTATTTATACGCGATCGGTAGTTTGTATCCGGCACAAGTTTCTGCAATCTTTGAGAGAGAGAGAGAGAGAGAGAGAGAGAGAGAGGGGGGGAGGGGGAAGAAAGTGATGAAAAAAAGCGGAAATTATAACTGTCGTCTTCCTTCGAAATGGAGCAATAACAACATATTGATATAGAATATAGGACGATTGTGATTTTATTTATCTTCTTTTATTTTTCTTCATTCTGTATTCGTCAAATCTTATTAATAACTTTGCTGCCTATATGCGAATTAAAAAAGTTCATCGTTTAAACATATCTTTCTGTTAAGCTATGCAAGATACTATTTGAGAAAATATATTAAAATATATTTGAGAAAATATAATAAATGGCTTTAGTCATCTATTGGAAAAATAATAGATTTCTTTTTACTACACCTAGATTAGATATTTTTAAAGAATCTTTTCTAAAAACTAATAAATCTTACGTTTAAAACATGATTTGTCTAACGATTTTATATTATACCTATGTTTTAGTGAGATTTTTTATTATTGTAAGCATATAATAATAAAATATTATGTAATATGATTAAATAAGCTTAATATCCATATTAAATTAGCATATTAAATTGCACATTTTTTTTATTTTACATTGTTATTTAGTTACTTTTTGATTCAAAATTGTATATTATATAACTTTATTTTTTACAAATACTTAAAAAAATTTTGATAATACAATCAATACGCCAACTGTAAAAAAATAAAAAAATAGTTCAGCACAAATCAAATAAAAGAAAGAATCCTATTTTCGGTTAAAGCGGATCTTAGTACTTAATAACATTTATATGCTATATTTTTTAGTTTTATAAATTATGCGCCGATTTGATTTGTTAGACTGGAAATGGAACTACAGCTAAAATATTAACGTCAAAAATTTGAGTTATAACGTCATAAAATTGAGTTAATGCTAAGATATTTACGTACTCTACTTTGTAATTCCATCCAATTGATGGATTCGTATAAGCCTTAAAATTGTGTCGAATTCCATTATCATGTACATTATTTTATTTCTGTTTTAGCTGATATATTCGATGAAGTAGATGAACAAATCAAGAAACATGCTGGTCTACAAGCGAATTGTGTAGGCGGTGGAAGAATTGAGCACGACCCCGACGAAAAGACCATCAAAGTTTATGGATATTCGCAAGTAAGTCTTGAAATTTAGTATGAAATTTATCGGAATATTTATTATTTGATCAATTTCGCACATCCTTGATTTAATCGACATAAAAATATTTTATTTTTCACTTTTATATGTTTTTGCTTTAATAAAAATAACAAGTTTTTTCTAGTAAGTATAGTATTTCATCCATTTTTGTCTATTTATTACAAAAATAACAGCTGTTTGATTTTCTGATTCACTGTGTGATTTTGTATATTCTGTATTTTCCACTTATTTTTTATTATTCATTGTGATATATTATGCGCTACATGTATATTTCATTCATTTTTCAACGTGAAGATCCTTTGTTAATCGAAATTATGTTCATACTTATCAAAGTAAGATTAACAATTGGACGACATGAACGACGTCTAAAGTGAATATATTCCGTGATATATTCCTAGTATCAGTTAGGCTTTAAATGCGGATAGAGGAATATCTATGATTAACAGCGCATAAACATTTTCACCTCTGTTGCTCGTTACGAGCTTTACGCCCACGTTCAGTCATCGTATGTCGAACTTTAGCAGATTAAATTCGTTCGACCGACAGAATTGGTGCCTCTGACGCAAACATAATCGAATAGGAACTTACGTGCGTTTTATCAGTTGAATTGTACGTGTAAAATAGAAATTTCCTTCAGTGGAGTGTACTTTTTATGTATATTTCCAATATTATGTTACCGCAAATACAATAGTTGAAAGAATAGGAAAAGAATTTAAACGAAACGCGCACGCGACGTTAATAAAATTGATTCTTTTTTAAATTCAACACTCAAATTTTCTCCGAAGTGTCATAGTACATATTTCAAACATTTTTTCACGTTGAACACGATAGATAGAGTTTGTGTAACATATTACAATTTGGAATAAATTAAAATGAAATAAATGAAAAAAGATCATTTTTAACATTTTTTTACAACAGAATAAAAGTTTGTTTCTTAATAAACGGTATCTAAAAGCTCTTTAATTTGAGAGCTTTCAAATGAATTTTAGTTTATGATTGTGTGACTTATTTTCATCAAATTATGATTGTTTAAATTTTAGACTTTTTGTATAATTATTACACAATTTAACAAAAAATCATTTTTTTTTCTCTGAAATAATATATACCTTGAAAATTTTCACATTCAACACGATACTGTCGTTAGAATTTATGTAACATGTCAGGATTTTTAGTAAAAATTGAGGTACAATATTAAATTGGTTGTCGCTCCATTTCATACGATATCGTGTGCGAAAAAAAATTTTTTAAATAATCACACTTTGGAGAGAGAAAATAGTTGATTTTTTACCGACCAATGTAATCAGTAAATCAATATTAAGACAGATATTTTATATTCAACAACAAAAATTCCTCTATTTCGTTGCGAAACGCTTTCTAGTGTACAAATGCTATAAACCTTGACGCTGCAGGTCGATCGATCTCCAAGCGTAAAATTGCAATTGCATTTACGTAAACTTGGAAATGTCCGTCGACTTCCGTAACGCAATTGGATTTTATTGAGCTATGTTATGGCATTTACGATCGTAAGTATTTCGCGTAAATAAGACAATTAATTATTACGAGTGTGTTGCAAAAATTACGACGGTGCTATAAGTTTTTACTTTCATACGATATCATTTAATTTTATTACATGCTAAACGCGCAATGCACTAGATCAAGCATTGTGTTTTTTAATTACAAAACTTGTTTTACGCTTTTATTTAAAGTAATATTTTTTTTCTTTTTTTTTCTTATATAATTTTAAATAATACCATATTATTATATCGATAATTATCATAACGCATAGGCATCTTGTATTGGCCTGAATATTTGTTTTATTTATTCGATAAAAGAGTAGATAATTTATTTTAATTAAAATACATTGCTTTAATCCTGCTATCTCTTGACAAAATTCTCGACATCTTGACGTCAGGGTTACTACTAGTAACCTTTCTCAATGTAAATTTTAATTACTGCGTTGAGTTTATTACATAAAGAGTTGTATAACTTCAATTTGGCTACAAGTTGCAATTTGTAAGGACGAAAGTAAGGATGCTATCAGACTACCGTTATCTTTAGTAAATAAATTTAAATATGATAGATATAGTGAAGTTGTGCGTTTCGTAAAATATGATATGAACGCCTCAACATGCTGCATATTCATCCTATTATATTTCAGAGAAAATATCTTAGTACTATATAGACATTATAAGGAATGAACAAGCCAATATATCTTAAAACGGCGGAAGCATTCCGAATTATTTATTCGAGAATTTAAATTGAATTTTGCAATCCATCCTGGAAGGATAATTCATATTACAAGAGCTTTACGAGAAATTAAGATTGATAAAAAAATATTTTTAAAACGCAAGATTTAAGAAAAAGATTCGAATGTATATATTAAAAACTAAAGAGTCCTCGGATAGAAGTGAAAGGATATTAGTAAGTAGATTTAAAGAGGGTCGCCCTCTTTAAATCTAACAACGCCCGGAGGAGAATAATTTTAACATTATCCTTGATGCTCTGTTTTCGTATCGCTAGTTACAGTTATAAGCAATGGGGGCGTATTTTATCTACTTCTGTCTTCTTGAAGATTATTCCTGATCCCATGAGAACATGACTTAATACCGTACAATTTACGCGAAGAGTAACGATATTATGTATGGAAAAAAGTATTAAGTTAATTTTATTAATAATAATTGTGAGATTTTTGTGTAAGATTAAAAACTATAAAATATTTTATGTAATTCTCTCTCTCTCTCTCTCTCTTTCTCTTTCTCTTTCTCTCTCTGATACTTGCTATGCAAGATCAATTAGAAACACGCGACGTTTCAAATTAATATTAACTCTTCGCTGACCAGTTGAACTTTAAAAGCATAGTCAATATTTAATTATGAATTATGATAGAATACAAATTATACCTGTAAAAAAATTTGCATTGAAGCTCAAAGATCTAGGTTGTTGACGGAAGATGCGAAATTCCACGTGACCGTAGATATAGATAGAGGGTTAATTCAATATTATATTATTATTGGGCGCATTCAAATCGACAAAGTGGTTAGCCTGCTTGCCGAGAAAATGAATACGATTGGTTGTTACTTATAGATTCAATTAATCACATTCAATTTTGCCAAGCAGGCCAGCTTGAATGCGTCGATTAATACTAAATTGCAATTCAATATTAGTACATTATTATAAAAACAAGTAATATAATTATTACAAAAAAATCCATTAAATTATCTATTTGCGTTAAATAATCCATTCACGTTATTTGGCGCATTTATAATGTTTTTCTTTCAACCTCAGAACTTTTTATTAATTTGAAAGTTTTTTTTACTAACACTCGCATTTAGCTTTCTTTAAAATACAGCATATTTCAATTTATCATCACAATTTTATCTAAAAGAGTCTATCCAAAAGCTTAATTTCCACTTTCTTTATTTTTTTTTACTTCCTTTTTGCTTTCGCGCATTGCTGCAATCAACGGCTGTGGCGATGTCAAGTATACACTTCATTAAAATTGAATAACGCGAAGTCTATTCTCGTAACAATTGCTACCAATTAATTAATTATAATCATTATGCTGGCGAATATGATAATAATTGAGCATGATAAAATGACCTTGTCACGTAAAGGTCATGACTGACACCATATTATTGTACATTTATTTTTAGAAGATGTGATAGACAGTTAATCATTTTTTATTATTTTTTTTTAATAGGGTTTTGGCAAAGCGGATCATCAAGTGTCGGTTGATTTATTGAAGAAAAAATATCCTGACTACAATATCACCTGCTCAGACGAAGGTTACTAATTAAGAAATAAATACATGATGACGCGATACACTATCACGCCTTTTAATTTAACAAGTATATGATACAGGATTGAATATTGCTTTGTACATTTAATACATTATTTAATTACTAATACAGTTACTAATAAAATATATGTATGTGTATCGGAATGAAATTAGATATGTTTTAATTGTTAAACATTCTAACTGTCTATCTGTTTTATAGAATGTCGCATAAAATGTAAGTAAATTAAATAATTTTAAAATTAAACAAGGCTATTTATTTATATTTTTCTCTAAAATTTCTTCTTTCTGTTTTATGGAATATTTTTATGTATTGTATAAAAAAATACAATAAATTAAGTAATTAAAATTAAAGGAAATTATTCATTTATTTGTTTTTATATTTACATCTCTCTTGGAAATTTCTTTATGTATAGGAATTTTTATTAATATAACTTAATTAATATATTTAAAATAATTTTATTTTCTATATCTCTCCCTATTTCCTCTTCCACCGTTTTAAATCAAAATATATATGGCTGTCTTTATTAATTTGAAAGAATATACATATATGTATATTTAAAGAATGTCTTAATATTTTTTAATAATTTCGTATTTTCTAAAACTGAGAATGGTAAAATGGTAAATTGCATTTTAGACTGTAGTTATTAAAGAGATGAAACAACTCAATCTTTTTACAATATCGTTCAAAGGTAAGTGACTGAATTACCCTATGTAATTGTCGGTATTTCAGCGGACTAAGAATAGCAATCGGTAACAGGAACGACCATGTTTAACATTCTTATATAGATGATCGTCAGTAGTTATATCGAGTTTCTGTTTTCTTGCTGCAACACTAGATGGCTACAGCAGTGTAAAATATAAATTCAAAAATAATAATAATCAAATATTAATTCAGGTTTAAGATTATTGACAATGATCTGTTCTTCTGCGGATTTATTGAAAATGCGAACCATATTTTATGGGAATGTCCTAAGTTTAATAAGGAAAGAAAGCTTATGATAGAAAAATTCCGCAAGCTAAATATAAAAATTAAAAAATATTTTGTCGATATTAGGGAAATTTTAAAGAAAATGAAAAATATTGAATTAGAGTTAATTACGGAATTTTTTATTAGATGTAAGATAGATATATAATATTTTAGTTGTATAAACTTTAGTGTTTGAGGTTACATGCAATTGTTTCCTTAGTTATTTTCGCTCCAACCTATTTTCCTTTCCTCCTTCTCGTTTTGCTTACTCAAATAATTTGAATGCGTTTAAAATATTTCAAATATTACATAAGTACATTTTTATGTAATAATATTAATACGCTATCTATCTGTAAGATCGCGAATGCGAATGTATGTAAAATCACTGTATTTGTACCTAAAATAGGCTAATAAGCTGAATTATCTCTCTCTCTCTTCATATTAATTACATATTATGTACAAAAATGTGTACATTGAAATTGTCTTTGAATTATGTTTAAAATTCAATTATATAATTCAATTTTATATAAATTCAGTTAAATGTAAATTTACATCTAATGCCAGCTTTAATTTTTATAGTAAAAATTGATACAGTAAAGATTTAGTTGTGAATTAATTTGAAGTAATATTCATAAAAAGTATTTTAAAGTATTTAAATTAATATTTTATTTTAAAGTATTTTTTGAGATAAAATTTTGATCCTAGAAGAAAAATTTTTACATCTTGATTAAAATATTACTTTATTAATTTACTTAGCGTAAGCCTTTTCTAATAACATTTATTTATATACAATATATTCGCATAATAAAGCGTCGAATGTAAAATCGTATGATATTTTAATTTTTGCCTTACATATTTGAACAGTTGAAATTGAAAGAATCGATGTTTATTTGTAACAAACGCCGTGTGCTTATTGCCCAATCATTTCGAATATGTCGGGCGTCTGATGAAGTCGTCAAAAATTTTTTAAGTTATTTTAGTATACTTAACCATGTTTTCCCGAGCCGCAAAATCAGTTGTAAAATCCGTTGGATCATGCCGAATTCATATTGGTGAAAAGAATTTCAAGGTATTTACGATTAAGTTTTGACAGCGAGAGATTTTCATTTTATACATTTCTACTCGCTTCATTATCGTAGATTAAATTGTTTATTTCTTTATACTTTTTATTAATACGTCGGTGTAATTAAAAATATTAATTTAGATTGCTCTAATTGGCGACGCTAGAGAAATCAGTCAAACTCTATCTCAGTTATTAAGAAATAACGTGAAACTGAATGCTTTTGCGTTATACGATGTGGCAGCTATCAACAGGCCTTTGCCTTTTTACAATTTCTATGATGAACAGCCATCCAAACCTATTGTAAGCGATTCATTGTTATATATTTTATTAAACATATTTCATTTTTACATATTTCATTAAAAAAGGTTAATATGTAAATTAAACAAATTATAATTAACATCATTATAATTAACAATTTTTATTAAAGAAAAATATTTTAAATATCTGTAAAACAAAAATAAATATCAATTAAATAGCCATCAGAAATGCCAACAATGAGGAAGAAATCCTATTTGGAGAAAGGCAATCATTCAAATGCAGTAATTAACAGCACGAGACAAACAGACAATAATCAAGGAAATAATGGAAGGGTAAAGAATGAACTTATTTATTATTTATATCCATTTATATCCATTTGTATTTATTAGAGTGTATTCAAATCTTTTAATTATGTTTAATATATTAATATTTTTCATTGATTATGTGTAAACATTTTGTTTTGCTAATATTAAGCAATAAAATAGATTTTTATAAAATTACCGAAGTATTTTTTCTAATTTTTATATAGAACTAATGAATTTGTCTCCCTATTTTAGAAATTATCTTTATTTAGTATCGTTAATATTTTTATTATTTAGAATTAATATTACCTTTTATTTAAAATAAGTAATGAAGTTAAATAAAATAAAACTGTTGTATACTTAAATGTGAAAGATTAAATATAGTACATTAAATATAAAAAAAATTGTATGATAAAGAAGTCGGTTTTTATGTAGAATCAGACAGAGAAACTTGTGGAAGCTCTTTACCATTTACCAATAGCTGAAGAAGCTCCAGCATTTAACGGTCCATTGATACCTATTGAGGAATTAATGCCAAAGGTAAGAGAAAAATAAATATAACAAAAAAAAAGTCTATAACATTTATATTTTAAATTTACAACATATACAAAAAATTGCTTGATAGAATTATTCACTTTAAAGAATATAGTTAATGTAGAATATAGTTAATGTAGAACTATATTTAAGAGCTATCTTTATATACACATTAGTTAATCCTAGTTATGATAAGCAAAGATAAAAATAATTTTTAATATATTGTATACATAATCGTATGTATGCTCAATATGCTGTATATTCTATACAAATTTATAAAATTTTTTTCATGGAATATTTTATGGAATATTATTACATAAAGTAAAAGTATTTTTTATTGTGCACAAGTAAAAAATTAAAATGAAAATAAATTTCCTAAAATTAAAAAGATTAAATTTCATAAAATTAGAAAAGAAATACAATCATATTTGTCGTACTTTTAGAGTTTTTGTTATGTCTTGATTCTCTCTCTCTCTCTCTCTCTCTCTCTCTCTCTTTCTTTCTATCTGTCTGTCTATCTGTTACCAGAGATATTGATTTTTGTATTCGATATTATTTCAATTTTAAAGAATGCATCTATTTTAATAATTATCCTAACATAAACTGTATTGTCATTTTGCTGGCAAAGGACAATAAAAACTGCAAAATTTGCATATTCACGTTTAAGTATGTCGTACAGTCAGTATCAATTTTTGCTATTTTTGGACGATATAGTGTACTATTGAAGAAATTATAATTTCATACATATACGTCATCTTTGTGAGACGTTTTATTTAGCAAGATTTTCTTGAGCATTTAAAATTGTTTAAATCATCGCTTAAATAAAATAAATAACCGTGATACGTAATGCAAATATTAAAATAATCGTAAAGTTTCCAAAAAATTTGATAATAGAAGCCTGAAGACGTATGCACTGAAGATATATTATATAAAATGACGCTCTCAGATTTTATAAAAAATAATGAGATATAAACTGGGATATAAAGTTAGCTAATCTACGAATAAAGTTAATCGATGCTGAAGAGCCAGCGGCCACATGTAAATCTTTAACAAAGAAAAGGTCTACAAGAGAACCGATCTTGAAATCGTGTCTCCGTCTGTCCTCAGGCGGGTAACGCATGCAGCAGGATGTGTCTTTATGCCAGAGTCCTGGGTGAGACGAGTTCCAGCAACATGGAAACCTGGCAAAGAGATTACGCCGTCCCGATTCGCAAGTGGTTCTTCGACTTGACGTATCCATCGTTTCAGGAGTACGATCTGAACTTCATTCCAGAAGCGAAAATCGCAAAGAAAGATCGATCGATTAAGAAAACGAGAAAAATCGAACATTTATCCTATAGTGCATTCGTTGCGAAAGAAAATAATCATCAATTGTTACCGACGTTTTTGTTGAATCATGGCGAAAAGCCAGCAAGAAGATTGATGAAGAAATTTAGAAATGATAGTATACTTCCAAATAGAGATGCACGTTGCAAAGGAACAGAGAAATCGACCGATTGGTCGATATCAGCAGTGCTATTGAATAATAAATTGAGGTTATTACATGAGATCTACGGTCGCATTATATTTCCTTTGTCTTCATTAAATTTTATAAATTACAAGCGTGAAAATAATCGCGAAGTAGGTTCATTCAATCGTGACAGCGAAACAACGGACGATACGTTAAATGTCGTTGAACAAGAAAATTGGATTCGACGAACATGCTCTAAAATCAAATCCATACTCCCAGACCTGCAGGCCAAAATCCGATTTCATTCGACAACCGCATCGGACTCGTATTGTTCGGAAAATATTTTTGTGGTGAACCAAGTGATTTCGTTTTCCGACATAATTTCCAATGCGATTCTTTTTACATCAAGGGATGATGAAGCTGATAAATCGAGGGCTGGCATTCGGAGGAAGATAGAGGAATTTTGTATGCAGCGGAAAAAAACTCTTAAGAAAAATAAAGAGAATGATATGTGTAAGAAAAGAGAGAAGTTGTATGAAAAAAGGGATAGGGAATGTCAAAAGAAAGAAAAGAAGACTGCTTGCACCGGGAAAATAAAATGGGCAGGCAAGAAACAAAATGCAGTTTCCTGCAATAAGAAAAAGAGTTCTTGTAATGAAAAATATCCCCGCGATTGCCATATACCTTGCGAGGCGGAGATCCAAGAAGATCCGTGTAAACCGAAAAAGGATACTTGTAGAACAAAAGAAGATCCTTGCGAACGAAAGGTGGAGATCCGAGAAGATCCATGTAAACCGAAAAAGGATATTTGTAAAACAGAAGAAGATCCTTGCGCTGGACCACATTCCTTTAAGCAAGAACAAACTCCTTATAAACTGCATGACGCAAGTCCATGTAGGTTAGATGTTCCTAAAATAAAAGAAGATCCTTGCGCTGGACCACATTCCACAAAGCAAGAACAAACTTGTTATGAACTGCATGACGCAAGTCCATGTAGGTTAGATAAGAAAAAAGATATCAAGAAGAAAGAAGAAATAAAAAAACCTGATTGTTCACAGATTAAATATGTTGATCCATGTGAGAAGAAAACGTGTCCGCCTGTTAAAAAGGTTCCAGAATGTTCTGGTTCAAAAGGAAAAAGCTCTTGAAAATATCTCATTTATGCATTGTTTATGTATAAAATATTTTCTGAAAAAAAAACTTTCAATGTCTCTCTTTTTATATATAAAAATCACAATAGAGTTAAAAAATATTTTCGCCCCCCCCTCCCCCCCCACACACACACATATAAGTATTAATTACAAAATCTATGTTAACTTTAAAATGAATTATTTCGGAACAAAATCTAGTTTATATTAATGTAAATTACTATTATTTTAAAGAAAAAAAAACTATTATTTTTATAATATCTCATATCTGTAAAGTACTTATATAAGTATATAATATGTTCTGTTACATATAAATCTGTAAGTAATAATAAATATTATTTTTTTTAATACAGTATTGTAAATTTTTTTAGTTATATTCTTTTAAATATAGAAGTCACAAAAAACAAACCTCTAACTAAATAACTATATGATAACATATTTTTTTATTTCAGCCACAACCAGAAAATTTAACTGTGAAGATTTCAAAATCCGAAATAATAGCAGAAGTAAGTTTTTGGAATATTTATTATTATATTTTATTATTATAAAGGGGAATTTAATTATTTTTTTATTTGATAAATAAATTATGAAACTATAAGGATATCTTTCGTATTTGAGAATATTTTATTTGCATATTTTTTAAATAAAATTATACGCGATTAAATTAAAAAAAATTATCCAAATATACGTTGAAAAACTCGCAAGAATGTTTTATGATCGCTGTGGCTCCACCTCCCTTCTGCCTCTTTTCTCGTTGAATTGTCTACTTTAAACTATTCAAAATCTTACAATACGTGAAAAAGGATACCTTATTCACATAATGAACTATTATAAATTTTATTTCTGATTGCTTTGGTCGTCATCTCTCTGCAGAGAAGAGAGAGTTCATCGATGACATCTGCGGTAAAAATAACGGGAAGTGGAAAACCGATCGAGTCCAATCGGATCCAAACCAACAGAGATTTTCTATCGATCATCAATTCATGTCAACAGTTTACAGGAATCAATTTTGTCAAAGATTTTCAGCAAGATTTCAATTCAACAGTCAATCACAAGGATTGCTCCGATTTTTCTTTTCTACATAAACATTTTGTCGCTCATCCTTGCTATTGTAGCAATCAATCTGATGAATTTGAGGAATCGAAGTTATCGTACGATGATTATTTCCCTCAAGGTGAAGAATACGAAGACGAGATTGGTATAGATGAGCAACAACTAGATAAAAAAATAAAAAAACCTAGTAAAGAACCGCCGATTGTCGATGATGAGTACGACAATTTTGAGCCGATGCTATTGTTTGAAAATAATAAATATGTCAATGGAGGTCCATTAACGAGGTTTATCACACGCGTACATTTTTCAAGTATTGAAGAATTAACAGAACCTGATCGAATAACGCTGATGTCAGAAAAAGTTTCCAACAAGGACGCTATCGAAAAATTGGAAACTCTGATCGAGAAAGTAGCAGAGTTCAAGCGTCGAGTTTTCCGATCCAAACATGAAGCACTGAAAATCGAGACTACGACAGACGAAAGAAAAGAAAAAAAAATCGTCAATGAAAACAAGGACAATGAATCAATGAAAATAGAAACAACAAATCAATGAATTGATCCTATTTTTTGTATGAATCAAAGGATCACTCTGTGTAAGCATGTAAGCATTAAGCTAGATTATAGCTTCTCTATTATATTCATGAACTATATTCGCATTAAATTATTATTTTCATTCTTTACCCATAAAAGAATACAAGCGCTTTGCTTTTGTCTTGTTAAACACTCTAAAGGAGGGAGGTGGGCCAAGAGCGCTGGTCGGGATTACCGCGAGATTATTGAGGAAGTGCAGCAAAATCCTTCACGAATTAATACGTAAAAACCAGCAGGCAGTTAGTGGCAGAGTACTGCGGCTAGGTGAGCCAGACTGTGGCGAAGATTCGCCTGATGAACCAAAAAAGAGTCCATGCGGTCCACCCAAAGGCCCCTGTCAGCCCGTCGAACCACCGGGTTATCCCTCCAAGCCAAAACCCAAAAAAAAGCCATTCAGCGTTCAATGCCCACCTAAGAAACCGTGCAAGAAAGAGAAATGCTGAATCGCGTCAGTAAGAGACAGAAGGTACGTGGAGGCATCAGCGGCTATCATAAATATTGTTGATGAAAACGAAGAGCTGTTGTTATTTCTAAAAATATAAATATATATTTCTTTATCTTCATCTCTTTTTCTGAATCCCGCAGGCTATCCAGAAGTTAAAGTTCGTACAAACAGAAACTTTCCTAAGAAGTCTACCAAGGTCTATCTTTGAAATAGGAGAATTAGGATTTAATCGATGGAACTATAAAATCTGTTCGATGAATATGTTCAACTCAGGATTGATTTGCACAAGAGATTTTAGTTCCTTCAAGTCTAGAAACATCTTTTTAAGGCATAAATCATTTGATCGGATTCACGAACAACCAAGAAAACATTTATTGAAACATTCATTTATGACGAAATGTAAACTGCCGGCTTTGAATGAATCAATATCGGCAATGTCAGTCTGCTATTCAACAGTTCCATCTTCTTGTCTACCACTTTTAAAATTCATTGAGAAATATTTTCTGCTTTATCATAATACTTTGTCGCTACCTTGTCATCAATCAGTCAGTTTGCTACATTCTTTCGCTTTATATTCGAAATTCATAAAGAAGTCGCCATTCTTAAAGATTTGTCGTGAGAAGGATTCACAATTTCTGGAATATCTGGAATACTCGAAGTCATTAGCACCATCTTCTAAATATTTAACGTGCCTCGAATATCTGTTAAAATGGAAACTCCTATCTCCAGAACTTTGCAAACAATATTTTTTATCATGTTCTATGTCTCCTTTAATGTGCTCACTTTCACAGTGCTCACAAAATGTTTCCAAAAACATTCAGGAAATATCCAAGAAGCTGCCAAAATTACAAAGAAATAAAACGTATAAGACATCCTCTCATCGTAATCTCTGTTATCCGATTTTCCTGCACAGGCGAGGATTTCACAGTTCTTTGTTTCTTGCTAAATCAGATTCTAATAAGCCTTCCGCTTGCAAGGAAATGGATGAACTCTGCAAACCGATCGAGATAAAGGAAGACTGTAGCAAACCTTGCAAGGAAAAGAGCGACGTTTGTTACCAAGAAAAGGTCAAGTGTGATAAATCACAGCGAAACAAGAAGACGAAACAAAAACACGAAACAAAGATAGAGAAAAAGATCATGGAATCCGAGTGTAAGAAGACTTGTCTGCCAATAGGTAAGTGCGAACTGCCTCGAACTCTTCCACCACCGAAGATGGAGTACGCAAAGGTAACGTGCGCCCCGCCGAAGTTTGCGAAGCTTAAATCGTGTCCACATCTGGAACACATTCAGAAAGATGATGAATTTGATAAAAAAATTAAACTGACTAATCCCAAAAAGAAGAAAATTTGTGCTCCACTTCCATTGCCGAAGCCACCGAATGCACCTATTATACTTTGTCCCTGTCCACCACCACCCAAACTACATCCTGGCTCGTGTCCATGCTATGAGATAAAAGCGTTAAAAGAGCGACCCCCGACACAACCATGTCTGTTGAAGAAGAAATATCCCTGTCCCACTGACGTATACTATTGTCCTCCGCAAAAGAAGCCATGCAATCAAATAAAACTTGAATCTGAAAAATGCGAACATAGGAAGAAAAAGAATACGTCGGCATCTTGAAGCATCGTATGAGAAACGAATGTAGCATAATATATTGGTCATTATTTTTTAAATACATAACCAGAAAGTTGAAAAAATTTTAACAAAAAAGAGGATTTACATTAAACAAGTTTCAAATATCAAATAATTTTTTCAAAAAATTGAACATTCATTTGCATTGAGAATAATTATTTTATGTACAAAACATTGACTCATATACGTAAATTGTTTTATCAAAAATTTTGATAAAATAATGACTGATTATTGTTCAAAAATATACACAGGATGATAGTAAGGAATAAGTTTTACAGAAAAATATCTTAAGATATGAGAAAACAAGAATGCGCACAGCAGTGATTTCTGCGAGATCTATGAAATTAGAAATTCGGTCTCCTGGATCGATAATTGTCAACAATTTAAGGCCGACTTGTTCATCTTCTGTCAGATCTGCGATTGATAGTGTATTCTCCGTCTAATGATTTCATTTTATCTATCTGTAATTTTTTTTTCAAGAAAGCACCACTGATCGCGAGAGTTTAGTGCAAGGTGAACAAACCAGCTACCGATGCATGTTGCTTGTCGCGTGACTAACGGATTATCTATTCTAAAATTATATGCTGATAATATATACTAATGCGTGTGCGTGTTCAGCCTAACATAGAAGAATTCCTATAAATATTAGTTACAATTCGATAAATGTGTGTAATGTTTATCGAAATGTATCAACTTAAAAATATAAACACACCATGCATATCAAAATCATACGTTATAAAATAAATTTGTTGTGGATGATTTCCGATATTATTATGTATAAAAATTTAATTTGTATCATATTTTTTATGCATTATATCAACACAAGAAATGATTAATTTGTTTGATTTAGCTAAAAGAGTTTAAAAACAAATTGTTTTCGTTATTTTGAATAGATTTTGTTGGTCATACGGCATTCGATGTGCATCTTACTAATTTTTTAAAAGAAAAAATTCAAGTCTAAATTCGAATAGATCTCGCAGCTAATTGTACAAAATGTATTATTTTCGTTTTGCGCGTATTCCACAAATTAATACCTTAATGATTTCACAGAAAAGCGATGAATACAGTCGACTAGTCGATATAAATGAATTCATATTAAATTTATGGAACGCAAGCTCGGGAATTAGATTTATATATTTCTATTTTTCTCTGTTTTGTCTAATACAAAACATAGAAATACAAAATGCTAAATACTTGTGAGGAGCTAAACAAAATATTTGTCAATTATTAAAACAAATTTTTGTGATATAAAGAAAGGCTTTTAGTTTATATATTATGTATCGACTACAGAAACTTTGACTACACGTTTATCGATCGATTATGTATATCATACATTTTGTAAATAAAGTCTTGTCTATTAATATTATTTAACATTGAGTATTTTTGAATACAAAAATGTGATATTTATATTTTCCCGGCAACTCGATATGGAAGAGACAGTTATAGGTTTCAATGAAAGCCTCACATTTTGCGAGTTTTACAACCATCTCTGCTCAACGATAGGTCATATCCATTGCTACGATGCGTTTTAACGAGAACGATATGCGGGATGAAAGGGAGGACGAACAGCGGATTGCTGTGAATAGAGAAAATCGATTTCTACTGTTGGTGATCGGTTCCAACGTTTGATTCGATCCTGTTGTGTACGCGATAATAATCGCTGTACGTGCGGACGCCATTTCTGCCGTATTTCGACGTATATCATGCGAATGTGTGCGTACCGGCAAGCACACGATACGAAATCGGCATCAAAAGCGTCTCGTTACAATAATATCGACATTTATATACGACAGGGTTTCAACTGAGAGGAAGTTTGGGCGGCGGAAAGACGAAGGTCCTTATCATTTTATTATTGGGGTGGGTAGGCAGGCAACCCTCGCCCTTCTCCGAACGATGCTTTACTTTTACCTCCCATTGTCTGTCCTTCGAGTTGGACCTCGACGCTCTCTTAAAGGCTTAAGCGCCGTTTCCAAGCGCCCAATAGGATAATCTAGCCTTTCCACTTCGCTTCCTGTTTATTAAAATGGAAGCGACTCAGTCGTTTGACGTTCACACTATTGCAGAACCACGTACGTTTAATTTTGTCATTTTAAAAAAACTCTCTAATACAAATATAAATTTTAATTTTTATATATATATATATAAATTTTTGTATAATTATACGTTTATAATTATGCAAATAGCATTTCCTATTCTCCTTGTATGATTTGTTAAATTAATAGACTTCAGATCGAAAAAAATATTTTAGTACCATATCGTTTGATAAGAAAAATTATAATTTTTATTAAAAATAATATAGATTTCAATATAAAAATGCATTCGGTATATATATTTCAGTATAGTATTATATCAATTGCCGGGAAATCCAAGAGAGCGGTCTCGGCCGAAATCGCTTTCGATGAGAGAGTTATCTCGTGCTCGCGGAAACTTCTCCTACGGCGTTCTCCTCGCGCCAGGTTTCACCGGTGCAAGATATCGCGAGCATTATCACGGGCGTTCACCGTGATTGGTCGGATTCGAGGGTATCGTCTCTTTTTCCACCCTCTCGCTCGACCAATAAGTGACGTTTCCAACCGAGAAAGGGTGCGCGGAGGGTAGGGAGCTCGAAAGGGGGTGGCAATTCGGCGAGAGAGACGAGACGTGCGATGTTCCGAGGGGGTTGCGAAGGAGGGAGACGAGGAGGAAGTGAAGCGATAGAGGAAGAGGAGGAGGAGGAGGATGAGGAGACGGGAAGGGGAGAAAACTCTCTGCGTGGAAGAGAGCCGAGCGGGTCGGGCTTCTCGGTGGAAACAAGCGGGATGGATAAACTTCGGAGCGACTGTCCCCGAGGCTGATGCATAATTCAGGAATCGTCACCGGCGAGGATATTGCCAATTTGGCGTCGATGAAAATACGATCGGATTTGTGTCGGCTACCGCCCAGAATGGAGCTCGCTCGCCAGGATACACATCCAGTGAATTTAACACCTTCGCCCGACCGACCGACCGCCCACCCTGCCGTACGTAATTGCATCGCAACCAATCCGCGGACTGGTGTACACACGATCGCCTCTCTAATAGCGTTCGCCGTTTTCACGCCGTTTCCGATATGGACGGGGAGTTAAGAGTTCTGTGACATCGCCGGACAAATTACGGTAGCCAATAGCTTCGTGCGGCGCTTTATCGTCGCGCGGCGTCGCGCGGCGTCGCGCGGCGTCGCGCGGCATCGTTTGCGTAGCGGCCGTAATGAATGGTGAAACGTATTGAGATGTGATACAGAAACGAAACTCTACTAAGCACAGGAATTTTGTTACAACCAATTTGATGTAAAACTTCTGAAATTATCAAGCAATTATATGTACATGGAAAGAATGATTTTACTAAAGTATAATTCTAAAAATTCATTGATAAAATTTAAAGAGATACAGATTTAAAAATATTTCGTTAGACTATCAAAATAACTATATAGAGCGCTCAAGCATAATGCTACAAAAAGTTTTGAGATTCTAACTTAATCGTCCTGTAATGAATATTCTGGTCTAACAAAATTGTTCTTCCTGTGTAGGAAATCTTTTTGTATAATTTAAAACATTAGCATTTAAGTTTTTTGACAATTATCTTAATGTATTTTTTATGTATATTTTTTGGAGTATTATACAAAATCGATTGTCTCGATATAAAAAAATCACTATTCGTTATAATATATCCTTTTATGAAGAACAGTAAACGTTACGCTGGATTTTAAGTAAATCGATGTTTATCGTAAAATATTCCAATATATCAGGCTCGATCATACGATTTCTTTTTTTAAATTCAAAGGCTTATAGAATGTCGTGTATTCTTTTTTTCTTCAAAACGGCGACGGTGCGATTCTGATACTGATTGATGGAAGATTATCGGTTTTCCATGGTTTTCGCCACAAGAATTTTCGAGGGTGGCAGTCGAAAAGGCCGTATAAAGAAGGATCGTCCAACGTTCGACGATTTTCCACGGATGTGGGGACAACGCACGGCATGAAATATTTATAGGAAGAGGAAAAGGGAGAAACGAGATATCGGGGCACGATGAAAAGAATACATTTCGGATCGATTCAATTTGTCAACGCGCCGCTAATTGCGTTATTATGCCACTCTTTTGTGCGCCGAAACGCCTCGATCATCAATAATCTATAAAAACTTGGCGTTGATAGCGATGAATTGTTGAGCGAGAGGATTCACGGAGAGAGAGATTATGAGAGGATTATGATTTCCTGATATAGCTTAGATTAATGAATAGAAGCGAGTTTTTTCGCAGAGATAATTGAGTTGTTGGATGGAATAGCATAAGTTATATTTTTCATATTTTGAGATACAAAAATATTTGTAAAAGTCGACCATTAAGCTAACCTGTGATTACTTTTAAATGAGAAGAAATTTTTAGCAAAAACGATCTTAAAAGGAATAAATAACATTTTAGAATTTTAGAATTTTTCAATAAAAAATTTAATCTATTTCACTATTACGATTAATTTTCATTTCTTATGATTTATTAATAATACGTATTTTTCTTGTAATTTACTTACATTAAATTAGAAATCATTTTTAAGAAATCATTTTAAAGAATTTTTTTTATAGAAAACGAATGAAATGGGAAAGAAAAGCCAAATTGAAAAAAATGTAGCAGTTTTCTTGTAAATTTATTCCTCGGATGGACGAAGGGTTTGGTGACTTGGCCAGAAGGCGGGAAGAGTCGAAGATTTATGATACCGGATGCGCAAATACGGTGAAACTTCCCCGTATCCGGAGTGGCGAAAACTTTTGTCGGTGTATGCCTGGCGCCTTTCCTTTTTTTCTTCGATTTTGCAATCGTTAGGATATGAGGCATTTTTACGCGAAAATATGTAGAACACGATAAAGTTCCATTGATGTTAACTTTTAAAATTAAACTGATTAAAATTATTATGCAAAGTGCAAGGTATGATACACACACTTAACTCTGGTATTTTAAAATTAATTTGCATTCTTTGTGTGT